GATCTGATGGCTGAGGTTGAGCTTCTCTATTCACTTGGTAACTTGAAGCAAACCTGCAAACAAGTGGCAAGCACATCACTTCCAGGCTCAGATAAGATGTGAGTTACCTGCTGCAGGAAAAGAAATGCAAAGCCCTCAGCTTGTATCTGCATAAGCTGAACATTCATCCTACCTGCTTATCAATTAATGCTAGCTAAGCATATACTTGATTTCCAACCAAGGGGACTCTGTACATGTTTTAAAGGAAACAATGTCATTATGTACTTGCTGAATCACTTCCTATATTTGCTCTGAGTGTGGATTCAATGTCAGACAATCCATCTTCCTCTTCATATTACTGTCCGCCTTTTAATATAGGATATCTGGGAAAAATAGCCCTAACTGCCTTTTTATAAATTTAAGGATGAGAGTACACTCTGCAAAATGTTTTACTACATACCTACCTGAATAATGAAATAAATGACAATGTAATCCAAAAATTTCTTATGGGGACAGGTTAACCTGCATGGAATTTCAGCCTTAGATCAGCAATTTCTTTAAAAATTATTTATTTTTCTTCTCTCTGGGCATGTCTAGGTGCCCATAGACAGGAATTAAAGACCAGCCTAATCACTGGAAAATCTCGGTGTCAGAACACCTAAGATTCAGTGTTGAATAAGGAGCAATAAGATGTAAGAATTCAGATTATTCAAAAACCTGAAAAAACTGGAGATGCTTCATTGTTAATGTTCATGTTCCTGGAGGTGCCAGCCTTTGAGAAGGAGAATGTGTCCTAGGAGCTGGGAAAAGATACCATTCATATGGTGTCCTGTGCATGTGATTGCTTGATCTCGATTTTTTTATTCACATAAAGCAGCTGCAGAAGACTATTTGAAATACTTTCTTTTTCTTTTGTAAAAAAGCTGTTATGTTTCATATGTCCAAACAGCTTTGTTCCAAGACCAGTCTGGCAAGAGTGGGCTAGTGAGGAACATGTTACCCTGCAAAGGAAGCTTATGGGATGCCATTTGCTTCAGGATCTGATGTGGATCTCAGCTCCCTTCACTGTAAATCCAAAACAGCCACTGTGAAAGCCATAGAATAAGAGAGTCAAACTTACAGGTTGGCAAATGTGCCTTAATAATTCTTACAGTACCATCTTGGAAGGCTCGTGTTGCAAGTAGGGACATCTTCCTGGTAGTTTGCTGGGAAGGCAACAGTGCAGGCATATGCACTAGGAACGGTCAGGCTGAAATTCAATGACTGTGATGGGGTCAAAAAAAGGTAGATTTTCAAGCCTTGATTGGTTGCATGGTAAATCTAGAGTGGGCTGAGACCTGTCTCATCTCTCCTGTAGTGAATAAAGCCTTAAGACTATGTGACACTGAGATCTGGTTTTGTCTTTAGTGTTGTATGGCATTGGGAATGGCTGGGACTCCTCCAGCATTTAGCCCTGGCCTTATACTGTGAATACATGAGAAATGCAAGCCTGGGATAATTGTCTGTATGATTCTGCCCTGCTTGGCCTGCCAGCTTTCTCACGGCTTTGTGTGACTGCAGAGAGCAGGGATTTAGCCTGGTATGTTGTCTCTGTCCCATCATGTGGTGAGTGGTTACAACAATGTCTTCAGACTTTATCATATCTGGGCTTCCTATCAATCTGCCTTCCTGTTGCCTCCCTTCCCAACTGTGCTTGGGATAACAAAAAACGCAGCACATCTGTCAGGTAGAAGATACTCTGAAAACTGTTCTTGAAAAACACTTCCATCTGCACTTCAGCAGCATCTCTCTGTGCTTTTTTGCACCCCAGAAAGAAACAAAAGCCCTCAGTGAAGCCCTCCATGAGATGAGGGAGGAGAACAAGCTGCTGAAGCAGAAGAACGCCTCCATGGCCAGAAAGAAAGAGCACTATGAGGGGGAAATAAGCCGTCTCAATAAGGTAGGAGCAGCAGTGAGCTGCTGACCAGGAGCTGTTCCTTTAGTTCCAGGAGCTCTCTTGTCAGGCAGTGACACTACCAGGTGCCCATCTTTTCCATCCTGGGTGAACAAGGTAGCAAACCATGATCAGCTTTTGGGAATTGGGGAAAAAAGCAAGACCTAACTTGAGCTAATACCTGTTCTTGGCAGGTAGTAGGGCTGCATTGCAAAGAGGAAAGTTAAGAGAGTTTTTGGCTTCTCCTCTGAAACCACTCTACATGTCATTTCTAAGCTCTTTCTACATCCTCCCTCCTTAGAACAAAAGGGAAATGGCACAAAGATGACTTTTTGTGCACCGTGGTTAAAAAGAAGTCACACAGTTTTAAAACTGTTGTTTTACTTATGTTCTGTGTTTGAGAATAATGGCTTCTCTTCACAAGACACAGTCCTGTCTTACTGTTTGTACCCACACATATATATATATTCATGCCTATAAGTATTATATGTATTTAGGTCTCACCGAGGAAATTGCCATTAAATAGCTAATTGGGATTTTTTTTTTAACTGAGGGAAAGTAATAAATGTAATTTTGTTTAATCAAAAGATCACATAAAGCAGTGGGTGTTTTCTAACAATTTTTTATTTCATGGTGAACCACAAACACTTCCTGAGGAAATGCACTGCAGTAACCATTGCTGTGTAACTTTAAGTGCTTTAACAAGCTAAAGGGCCATGATGTGCAAAAGTCAAGCCCAAAATCATAATGTTTGCCATAATAAAAAAATCTGTCAGAACATATGACCTCTAGCTCTTTTTGAAATGCATTGACAGGACTCGCTCAAAGCCTCAGTGTAACTTTCATTCAAGGTTCATTCACATTGTTTTGTGAAACAACTTATTTCAGTGTTATCTTTTGCTGCCTTATGATGTGCTTGGAATAAGAGAGATGGGTAAATAGAACATTGTTTTAAATGAAGCATCGATTCATGTAACACACTTTCCCAACAGTAATTTACTGATTTTCTGTGTATCTGCATCCTTCATATCTCATGTCAGGAATGCACATAAGACTGTAAGGGATCCTTTTAAGTCTAGTCCCCTGCTATTGCAGGTTCAGCCACTTGAAGTTATTACAAATCAAACAACTTCCTTTATTTGAAATGATAAAACAAAGTCTCACAGTACTGCTTCCAAATAATCTTCACCTTATTTTTCTCTACTGTAAACCTTTTGAATATTGAATTTTCTGGATATTTATTTTTTTCCCCTCCATAATCCTGAGATGTAGAACCTCCTCAAAAAGGTATTAAAAAGTGGTTTAAAAAGGAACAAAAGGAAAGTTAATCAGTCAGGTATCTGTATCTTCAAACTCCCATGTTGAAGTTCAGCCTTATTTATGTACTGACATGGAACAATTTCTCTTCTGCACAATCCTTAGGGACAGAAGTTCATCAGGTAAAAAGCCTTCCTTTTCTATATCTTCCATGGGAAGGGCTTGTTTTTGGTTGGCCTTTTAATAATTAATTAAAAATTGTTCCTGTCCCAGGGAGAAATGTGTAATGCTGTTAAAAATAAACAAAATCTGCAAAGAGCTGTGGCAGAATTTCACTGTAAAACTGAGCCAGAGTGGTACGATGTTGTGTGTATTCCTAACTCCCTCTAGTGACAAGCTACGGAGACTACACAACGTCCTCTCAAACAGGAGCATTTGCTCCGTTCCAGTTGAAGAAATCTGTACTTTAAGTACAAAAAATGTTTCAGTCTGACTTTCCCGTAGTCACATTTTTAGGCCACCTTTAAATATTGCTTTTATTTTCTTGGGGTTTCTTTGCTCGCTTTTGGCCTCAGCTGAGTTTAGACACCTGTCTGTTTTCCTGAATTCCAACTTGCACAGGGAAATGGTGTTTATGGATGAGATTTGCAGCTGTGATTTCCATGAGTAAATATTGTATATGGTTATAAGTAAAAGCACAGTCCCCTAAATGACACTGACTCAAATTCATGGATGTAGTGTGATATCTTTGAAAGTGTGGACCTAGTCATGGATATATGTTATTCATGGGGTTTATATCCAGGGTATATAATGGAGGCAAATGCAAGTGAAGGGAAAACCTCTTTCTAAGAATTTAAAAGGATATTTTTTCCTTTTCATGTAATGAATCTCTGCTCAGTATTTTTGCTGTTTGATGTTACAGACCCTTCTGGACGTGTTGAAAAAGCAGAACTCGCCTGTCCTTGGGACTCCCCCGGGGAAGGGTGACAGGAACAGCATTGAGGAGATGAGAACCCAACTTGAAGTGCTGAGACAGCAGGTAAGAGCAGCTGGAAGTAAGGCTGGATGGATTTCACACAGCATAATTTTGCCTTGTCTCCCAAGAATTGTGCCTGGCAGACTTGCTATGCAGAGTTTTTGAAAGGAAGTCTTGGAAAACTAGAACGTTGGCATTGCAGTTTTTCAAAGCGCGAGGCGAAACATTTGCATCCATAACCTACGTCCCAGTCTCTGTAGATGTGTATTTATTTATTTTTAAATCTTTGTACTCAAGTGCTTTGTGCACTGCCTTTCTTTCCATATGAAAGAACCTGTTTAAAAAGCATTATAGTTTTCTGATAATTTTACATTTTGGGTCTGGACAGTGTTAGGGTTAACGTTATTGACACACAAATGGATGTGATCAGAATGTGAATTTTATTCAATGGGAATAAAATACTTGTTTCTGTCACGTTTGACAGCAGAGCCAAATTTTGCTCTCTAATGTAATGCTTGCCACATGCCGGAGAACAAAATCCTGCACTTGATTGTACAGTAATAACTTATTTCATTCTACACAATAAAATAGAGTAAACCAATTTTTTTTTCAGAATTCTCATGGGGTATCTATGTTATGAATGTATTCTTCTAGTTGTATAAATCAGTACAGTGAGCCCAGACTGGCTTGTACACAAAGTGGAGCAGGAGGCTGTAACTGTATGGAGAGGGGACTACTGGGACAAACAGTGATGTGGCAGGGTCTCACCAGAGCTTGGTTGTCATCAGCCCAGCCCTGGTCATGACAGGAGAGATGAAGGCATTCTTTTCTTGGGAGGTGTCCCCCTCTGTGCCAAAGGGGTTCCCTTGCAGCTTCAGCAGGTTGTACGGCTGGGGAGTGAGAGGGAGGGAGGTGGGACAGAATCAGGAGAGAAGAAATGAGGAAATACTGAGGGGGGAAGTGTGTAGCTGGACAAGGAACACAGAGATTTCAGCTTTGCCTCTGCCTTGGAGGGTCAGGGGTGTGCAGGCCTTCTCCACACATGGGCTGTGGAGCAGAGTCCCCACACAGCCACACAGAAAGCCTTTGTTCCTTTTCCACGGTGTTATTCAGGAAGGAGGTTCTATCTAGTGGGGACCATCAGGTCCAAAAAAACCCTTGCAAAAATTAGCTGCAACAGGCAAGTTGTGAAAATAATTTTTAGAGCCCTGTGTTGACTTTTTTCTTCCCCTGAGGTATTAACATTTCTTTAGTCCTTCTGTGAAGTCATAGTCCTGCTGCCAGCAAAAGGAAAACTGGATCTATCTGATGGGCAGGGCATGAGCCACAGCGAGCAAGGCCTTTGGAAACAGACTGTCAGCAGCTTTAGGGAGCAACCAAGAGGACATGAAAGGGCTTCTGAAAGTTCTGGTGGTGGTTCCCACCCAGACATGCCTTGCTGTTGTTTGTCAGCAGAAGTGCCACCAACCGCCAGCTCCTCACTGGGTGAATTCCTGCCCATTAGCTGGAGAATTCAGCCAGTCAGCTTAACACCAAATAATTGACAGATTTGTGCTTCGCTTCTTGCTGCCTGAGCCTGGGGTGGTCAGACATTTTTTGGAGGGATGAAGCACTGTGATTCCTGGGGACATAAAAACAGCTAAACCATTCCACCCCTCAGCAGAAGCTTATCTTCTAGGAACCAGGTCAAACATCTGTATTTGCATTTTGAATTGTGTACATTGCATTCCCCTCTGCTTCTCCATTGGGGTGGGGAGGTTATTCCCCAATTGCTTGCACCTGAGGTACAGGAGGGAAGAGAAAACCGCAAAAAGTGTTGGTAAAATCTTTGTCCTGGTACTGTTAATCCCTTAAAAAGCTTGATAGTAGTGTTTGCTGTCTGGTTTATAATATTTAAAACTGATATTTGCCAGTCAGCCTTTTAAATTTCAAGGGTCTACAAATACTGAAGCTGTGGACTGTTTTGATTGACAGGTGCCATTGGAGAGTAGTCATTAGTTGTAATTTTGTAGAAAAAAGACAAGGCAAACTTTGATTGTCCAGAGGAGGGGTCCCTTTGGAATGCACTCCGCTGCTTGGGCAGTGTTTAAAAAGCCACCAGACAACAAAAGTGGATGAAATGGCTCTGCTGAAATTCCCATCCTTGATATTAACAATTGCAGGTACAAATATACGAGGAAGACTTCAGAAAGGAGAGATCTGACCGAGAAAGACTCAACGAGGAGAAAGAAGCATTGCAGAAAGCTAATGAGAGATTGCAGTCTCAACTGAATAAACTCAGCTCTCAGGTATGAGGCAAAAGAAAGCTCCCACTGCCAGCACATGTGCACTTTATTTTTGTTTTCTCACTTTCCACGCAACTCAAAGCTTTCTGGCTTCCATTAATTGACATTGGATTTTATATGAGGTCACCACCTGGGATGAAATCATTCTGAAGTAATGCAGCAAGAAGATGAGAAACGATTAGAGGAGGCTTCCAAAACGAGTAGATGAAGGGAGTATTTATTGCAAAAAACTTTTCAAACATATCTTAAAATGGAGGCGGGGGGGTGTGGAATTACCAAAAACAAGTCCAGAGGACTTTGATTGTTTCACTGGCACTTGATATAAGAGTTATAACATCAAACAAACTTTTGAAATAAAGAGCTTCTCTAGTTAACCCTGACCTCTGCAATTGAATTACAGGGATGGTAATATCACCGAGGAACAAAATGGGCTCCATACAAATGAGCTGAGCAGCCGCCGCAATAATTTTTTCTTGCAACATCCTTTTTATCTCTTCAAAGTAGTGTCAGTAGGAAGCCATAGTAAAATCATGGCATGCAAAACTCTGAGCTTTCTCAATCCCCATTAAAAAAAATGACGAAATTTCGAGGTTTCCTGTCTTGACAAAGTTGTGCAATGTTTTAAAAGAATGGCCGGTTACCAACAAGTTCTATGATGATTTATTGTCCTCCCCGACATTGTTGTGAAACAGAAACTTCAGTATTGACTTATTCTCAACTAGCCCAAGCATCAGTACTAGTAAGGTCTTGCTGTAGCATCAGAGGCAGTGAATAGGGGGGTCTAAAAATAGGGCTAAAAGGCCTTTCCCACTCCTCCCCAGGAGGATTAGGAGAAATGCTGACACCTGAAGGGCTGTACAGGTGCTGTGTAACATGTATGTACAGCTTGTCTGTCCCTGCAGTGCATCCACAGTTCACACTGGAGATCTTCTTGTTTGTCTCTTCCTTGCTCAGGATTTGATTAAACAGAGCTTGTGAAGGATTTTAAAGATGAGAGCAACCATACAAAATATTTATTAGTTTGTTTTCTTAAGTCAAATCGTTTAGTTGTGACTCACAGAATCACAGAATGTTAATCATCTTTTACCCCTCCTTCCTCTGTCCTGAAGCAAATTCCTGTTGACTTTACTGTAATGCAGAGGGCCTAAAGAAAAGGCAGGCCTAAACCTTGAGGCCATTGACTTTGGTCCTATACCAAAATTATTTACTTTTCTTGTCATGCAACTGTCCATGTAGTTCTGCTTCAAATTATCGAAAGCTATTGTCTGTAATGAAGATATAGAATACCAGAATATAGAACACACCCAGAAATGCGCTTGTCATATCTTGAAACCAATATTTTCCTCACATAAAAAGTACCAGGACTCTGGCGTGGCACTTTCTTAAATAATTTTTAAACAATAAGTAGTCAGGAGGGGCTAAACAGGCAGCATTGTGACCCAATGCTGAGAGAGGAGGGTTTCTTCCTCGTTGCTTTTCATTGATGAATTTGTGCTTGACTATTCTGTCGGTCATTGTATCCTGCTGATGATGCATTTCTTCTTATTTTTGTGACAGACAAAAGACCTCCCAGTACAGCCTGAGAGGCCCAGTTACCCACCTCCACTCTTCCTCTCACCCTGTGTGAATTATGGGAGGTGTGGGATGGTTTTTCACTATGCAGATCCTCGAGTACAACCAGGGCCTTGCAGGGCACATGATCAGCAGCAGCACTTGGTAAGATTCCCACTGCTTCTCGTGTCTCAAGGACACTGATTTTCTCTTGGCATGGTGACCACTGAATAACTGGTGCTATCACAGCACCATCAACACCAGCAACTGAATTTGTGGTTTCATAGTTTGTTGTTAGTTCCAGATCAATATCAAATTTACTTTGTCAAACACTATTAATCTATAATGCCATTCAGAAGAAAAATGGGGTTGTTTTATTGTAAGGAACATTTGTAGGTTAATTAGAAAATGAAAGTTGTTGGATTGGAGTCTTGCTGATTCCTTAGATAAATTTACAACACTCATTCACAGCCCTTTCTAACTGTATAGCTACCCACATTCAGGATTATGGGTCTGCTCTCTGGAGCCCAGTTCTGACCCTTTAACCTACAGTAATAAAATAATACGATAATAAAAACCAAATCAGCAGAAGTGGAAGGTGTACCTGAGTGTGGCTAACACCATGAGAAACTTGCCTTTTTTCCTGGCACACAACAGAGTCCTGTCTTCCTCAGCACGAGGAAGAATAGCTTTGCACTGGAGCAGGTTATGTGAGGGGGAGTTATCTATTTCAAGGAAAATACTGCTTCAAAGAAGTGCTCTGGGTTATCTAAGTGAGCTGTGCTTGTTCCAATCTAGTGAGAATGCATTTAAACATGGTGAATGTCATTTTAAATACTCAGTGCCTGTTTCTGGCTGTAAAGCTGTCACATATGGAAAGATGCTCATTATTTGGGAAGTTATAGCCTTTTGAAAAATGCATGTAAGGCTTTCAGACTGCAGAAATCCAATGGAAAGGCTGTGGTCGGACAAGTAATTTGTGTGTTTCGGGAGTGTGCTTATCTGCCTATTTATCAAAGTTGGAAGTATTGCAGAATGTTTTTCACTGCAATTTGGACACTGGCCCAGATTATTTTGGCTCTTCTCCCTGAACTTCCATCATCTGGGTTTCTAGTTCTGTGAGGGATCACCAGGTTTACGGCTCTGCCATTCCTGCCGGAGCTCCGGGGTCACTTTGCCTCGCTGCTTTGTGACTTCTCGTTCCATCCTGACCCTTGTTTGAAATGCTGTGCCTGGGCCAGTGCAGCCTTGCTGCTCTGAGCTTTGGGAGCCTCCCTGAGCAATTTGTTAGCAATGAAGGAAGGTGTTAGAATTTAATGAGTGTCCTGATACTTAATCCTGGGTGTTTAGTCTGTGCTTTTGCTTTTTCGGTCTTTTTATATCTTGCACTTTTTTTTTCCTCTTTACACTGGTAGTGGAAACATTTTGTTTAGTCTTGTTTCTGAAATTCATTCAAGTTTGTGTGGTGCAAGTAGCTATGAAAGAGAAGAGTTGATCAGAGAACAGAAAATCTACCAGAAACTCAAAAAAACCAATAGCAAATAAATGTAATTTGAGCCACTGATGAGAAAACTACCTGTGCTGAAAGCAATGCAGCCTTGCTCTGTATCAAAGCCTATTTTGATTGCCCATAAGCACGGAATTAGTTAACAATTACTGTGAACGGTACAACTGAAGTGAAAATACAACAGCTCCTTCTGTCCTGAAGGATGAGAGTGATCACTGCTCTGTAAGTGCGGGTGACAGCAAAACACAAAAGTTAAATCTGTTTTCTGTATCTACAGCTTCATCCTGCCATCTTAATTTAGGCAAAACTTCTTTAGAATTCTCTGATATTTGTTGCCTATAGATTGGAATCTGTAAGATTCCCCTTGGCATGACTCAGGATTTTGTCAAAGTAATTTCTGCAAAACGAGAATTATTTTTCCAGTTTAGCTGATCTGAAGCAGCAATTACCTGAAATTTGACAAGCTTGCATGTACTCTTACACCACAGATAGCCTAACCTGAAATGTCTGGTCCCAAAGTTGTTTTCTCTAGTGGTAGTTTGCAGCTAATTTACCACAGTGTGTGGTATAAACTATAATGCACTATTTCTTTCTTGCAAGATTTCCCTGGACAGAACTGCATTTGCATAGACATAACCTTCCCAATACTTCCTCTTATAAGAAAGATGGGAATATTTTCTACCTCACAATATTTTCAATAAGTTATTTGATAACAGCTAGTGCTGTGAGGAAAGGGAGAGAGGGAGGGAACTTCATTCCATGGCTAATTCCTGTCCCACTGAAGCATGTTACAGGTGTGTTCGAACTGGAGCAGCTTCACCTGGCAGGTGTACCAGGTTTCTCTGAGGTGTTTTAGTACAGAGATGCCTGCTGGTATCTTCTGCACTTTAATCCCCAGCTCTTTTAAAATCTCATTTGGTTCTGTGAGTGTTTCTTTTGATTTGTGGGACCTAGAAAGGTTTACACCAACATTTCTGATGGGTGCAGCATCTAAACCCCGTGCCATAGAAAAGGAAGCAAGCTGAGGGACTTGGATCAGTGGAAACATAAAGCTAAATATAAGATTTTTTTTGTAAACTACTTTTGTACGACTAATGAAAAGCTTCACAGCACAATTATGTTTTTATCATGTCACTATTCTTCTGTTTGAAGTGCCTGTGAAGGCCATATTGCTGCAATAATGTTTTATTGTTCTGTGCAGCCAGACTATCAGTGGTATGTTCCTGACCAGCTTCCGCCAGATGTGCAGCACAAGGCAGATGGTAAGACAGCAGCTGTTCAGAGCACATATTAAATGTACTTTTATTTTAAGTGGAGGCCTTTGAGGCATGCAGAGCAAACTTTCCTATCTATCTGCCGAGTGCTTATGTGGCAGCTTTGCCTTGGAGAGGTTGGGGTATGAACAACACAGGCGAGGTTTCTAATGTAACACCACCTATGCTACGGCTTTCAGCTTCACTGCAATTCATAAAACGTCTCTATTACACATTATAGGATCACACATTGGCCCCATTAAACACCTGGTAATAGTCCTAAAGAAAAGATGTTCTCAGAATTCTCCTTAGAGCTTCTGTTGTTCCAGCTAAGACCGAATATGATGATGTGCTGAACCTGGGGGCCAGCATGGGTTTAGAAGTCCTTGGTAACAAAGTACAGGCTTCAGGATGTCGTTTCACCTTAAGGGCAAAATGCCCATTGCTGTTCTTGATCTGCTCTGATAGTTCAGGGTGCCAAGTGTGGAAAAAAAGCCATGTAAATGAACAGAATTAAATAGTTGCTACAGTGTCAGTACAAACTGTTGGGTTTTTTTGTGGAAACCAGGAGGAGTATTTAATATTTGTACCTGGACTTGAAACCATTCCTGGTTGTTTTGAAGTTCTTGTTTCAGACCACTCAAAAGATGGATGCCAGGGAGCACAAGGAATCTCTTCTGGATGGGAGTCTGCTACTCCATGGTGTGAGTGGGTACCATAGGGAGTGGCAGGGACTGCTGAGTCCAGAAGCTGTTTTGTAACATCTAGAAGAAGAAGATGGCTACAGAGGAACTATTCTGCTATTTATTGTTGTCCACATTTGCCCAGAAGAGAGGGTAGGGTGAGAATGGAGCTTGCCAAGATGGCTGATGAGCTTCCTGTAATTACATGGCAACTGTGTGGAGGGTTCTGATGTGGTCACAGGGAAAGTAGAGCTGTGACTGCAGGAGAGAACAGGAGATTAATTTTGCTGTTCCTCCCACTTAGACTTGAAGTGATTTATTGCACCAGAGGATACAGGGAGGTTATTTGTAACAGGGAATGAAACAAGGCCACCAACTGCAGCCGTGGGCCGGGGCAGTGCATTAAGGGGATCTGAGGAAAGAGAGTTCTTCTCCCCTGCTTGACTATGACTTGACTTCTGGCTCCCTGAAAAAAAACCTTTTAAAAATCCATGCCCTGTCTTTCTATTACTGTTCCTTGCCCAGAACATCCAAATACCTCCTTTGTCAATGGGACAGTGAGTAGGACACTTGGAGACTTTCCCTGCCCTTTTTTCCGTCAGTCCCTCATTTCTTAATGAGTCCCATCATAGCACTGGGTGTCTGCTTTAACATCTTTAGGGCTCTTTTTATCTTGGCTGACAAAACAAAGATGATTTTATTAGCCATTGATCACACAGAAGTCCAGCTTCTATCAGTTAAAAGTCACTAGCCTGGGTTCATATACTATATATAGTGGTCTCTATTAGATCTGCATGTAAGTATTTTGAGAAAGGTTTCAAAGATAGAAACCCCAAGAATATGTGATGACAAAGTATCCCAATGTTCCAATTTCTTTGTTCTATTTTGTGCGAGCGCTGATTACAATGGGGGGTTTAAATGAGCCAGTATGTGCAGCAGCATTCCTGAATCTCATTTCTCATCCTTCATTTTCTCATTAGATGATAAACTGACCAATAAATCTTATCTCTGCTGAGCTAGGGCTTCATTATAGAAAAACAAATCAGCAGTGCAGCAACTTTTAGGCATGAAGCAGTTTCCTTTAGGAATGCTATTTCAGTAAATTGATATTTCTAAGGAAAAGCCTTAAGTTTTCCTTAACAAATTTTCCTTTGACACTGGGCATTTTTTCTTAAGAAGTAATTATAAAATACAGATCACAGGTTGTAGCTTTAGAGCTGAACAGAAGTGAAATGAATTGAGAAACTCATATTTTTTATAAGTTTATTCTCCAGACTACTATTGTCCCCAGAGATGTGTTTTGGTAGTTGGCAGAGGATCACTTAAGCACAAGCCTGTGGAGCAATGTTGTGTCCAGCACTGAACTCTCAGGGTGGTGTGATGGTTTGGATCTGACATTTTTTAATTAGCTGGAAATAACTTCATCAGAATATAGGAAGGATGAGAGGAATGAGGTGAAAGGAGAAAGAAAAACTGCCCTCAAAAAACTGCTTAAAAACTCAGATAACTCATGCCAGAGTTCAGCTTCTCTGTGAACATAAGTATTTCTTCTCCATATCTTCCTAAACATTAAATATTCCATCTGAAAGCAGGCAGGGGAAAGATGGATAAGAACATTTTGTGTCCAACCATGCTCCATAGGTGGGTTGCTGTGGAGATCAGGCTGCCAGGTAAAGACCACTCAGGGAATCCTCATAGGACAACCACCTGCAAAGCAGGATTAGGGGGAATCATCCAAAAAACCAAAGGTGTTTCCTTGAAGGTCCCAGTAAAGAGGGAAAGGCAAGTGATAGGAGACAGGAAGAGATTAAGGAAGAAGATTATGAGGTATTTTCCTACTGCATTAGCAATGTATTTCCAACAGAATAACTCTTCTTTCCCACCTCTGGGCTGGTCCCTCCATGGGTACTTTGCTGTGCAGGAAGCCCAGTCCTAAACTGTGCCTAAATTCTTCCAGCTTAGCCTTGTTCAACCAGCAACGCTGCTTTTGGAGGGACATGAGCTCCTAAGTCTCTCTGTGCTCCCTCAGTGTTGCTGGAACTGGCTTCTGAGCTTTTTTGTTCTTGGTTGTGTGGTTCTGTTTGGGCTTTTTGAGTGATTCCAGTTTAATTCGTAAGGAGCAAGGCGGAAAGATTTCCAGCAAATGTACTTAATGTCACTTCATTTGGCGAGGAGTGTTGACTTCCTTCCTTATCCAACTGTGCAAAATTGAAAAGACAGTTGAAAAAAAAAAAGATTGATTATGGAGATTTTCCCTGAACCCAGTTTTTTAAATGCAAAATTCTCTGGAAAAGAGGTTTACTGCTCAGAAGCCTACTCAGAGCAAGAACCCTTTTGCATGCCACAACTGCTGGCATGTACTGCCTTTTCCTCTTTCAAAATTAATCTTGCTGCATTTGTTTTCTTGGCAGAAAGATTCTCAGCACATGTATTTAAGGACCCCAGTCACCCCTTCAGAACATCAGATATAAGTAATGGATTTCTGTGACCTGAGCTGTATGTTTTATGTTGGATCCAGTCACGCCAGGCGCAGGGACAAGCCAAAATATAGCCCTTTGCTTAATCTTGGCACAATTTGGGAAAGCAGAAATCAACCTGCAAAGCCCTAAAGATGCCCAGATGAGCACATGAAGCAGCAGGATGTGCCCACTTACTTTCATTATAATCTCATCTCCTGTTCCCTTTCCACACTCTACTGCTTTCCAGATTTTTGCCCTCAAGGTACCTAATTTGCTGCTAATGTTGTTATAATTACAGCTAATTGGAAGAGGAGGAGGGGTTTTTCCACTGAAAATAATGACATCTGTAGGGAGAGGGAATAAAAATGAAAAAACTGAAAAATGGATTTGTGGAGATCTTCAATGAAAACCAGACAGGAAAAAAGAAAAATGTCAATTAATTGACATCTTAATTTTCCTGGAAAAAATCCCAGACCCTAAAAATTTTTGGTATTAGCCTGTTCTCAGTGCATATGTTACATGAGAAATTACCAGTGCTCCCAAGTAGTCAAGACAGATTTAATTAGCAGCTTTGCCATCCCCAGTGGGAATGAAAATGTGATTATTGTCAGGATTTTTACTGGTACAGCTTGATTTCTGCTACTGCAATGTAACAGAAAGGCCATTAGCACACCTGTGGTTTCTAACTGCAGAACCTGTCAAGTTGCCTGTTTTGGAAAGGCATTGCTTTTAAAAGTCAGTTTTATCTACCTTGCACAAATGTGACCCTTTTGGACCAGGTTTTCTGTGGTGTCCATTTGGATCTCATCAGCCCTGTGGGTTTGAAGTGAGTGAGGGGGTTACTGTGTAGCAGCTGCAGGGCAACTCTCCCAGGCGAATTCAAAACCCTGCTGGAAATATTTCACTCTTAATGTTTCTCCTGTAAGTGAAATACTGTGTGCACTTGCACGTGTGTTACTAGAGATGTGTTACAGCATTTCCAAAATCTTTTGAAACTTCGGGAGGCTTGTGTTACACCAGCAATAGTGTATTTCCTTTCTTCGGTTTTGTTTTTCCTACCTTGAGTGAGCTACTATCAAACAGGTTTTTGAGCCACAGACACCTGCTTAGCCATAGGTACTGCTGCCTAATTGTTCCCTCTGTCATACTTACCTACTCTCCTGGGTGCCCAGGTACACCTATGAGCCCTGCTGAATGTCAGCTGAGCTTTTTAGAAGTCTACAAAGGTTTTACAGGGGGGTTTAGGTCATTAGACCCTGATGTTTGCTCTCTATAAACCATCAGGACTAGATGAAAGTCGAGAGAAACTACCAGTGCACTCTGATATCTCTACCTTCTTTTGCTTCTTCACTCCTACTGCCCCTTGTAGTGAATTGATTACAGTCTTGTAGGGATGTATAGAACTGGCTTTAGGGGTGTGTCTGTGAAAGCATTAGGAAACAGAGGGAAATTAATCACAAGTGAGTTGTTTTTCTCAGTCCCAAAATAATTCCTGTGGATTTACTCGTGCAGATTCATCCCCGGAGAAGGGAGCCCAGCGCTGACAGCCCAAGACGTGGAGAAGTGTGAACCAGAGGCTGCAAGCAAGTCTTGCAACTTCATTATTCTGTTTTCTTCTGTGTTTTTTTTTGCCCTCAGCTCCTTATCTCTTCAGTGCATGTGATTTATGTGTGGTGAAATCCCTGCGAGGACAATAGAAAAGCAGATCATACAGGCTGGTGATCCTCAGGATCCAGTTAAACTCTGCTGGGAAGCGTTACTGCCCTTTGTTCTGAAGATGCTGCTTGTGCTGCCTATGAGAATCTGTTAAAGAGCCTTATGAGAAAAGATGCAGCCCTTACTGGGGATTCAGACTGTCACATCTGGTTTGAATCCGAAAGTTTATAAACCCAATAGTGTTGTGATTTTTGTTGTTGTTGTTTGAGAATTATAGAGAAGGCTTATTTGATTCCAGGGAATGATTTGTTGATATATCATCTCGAATTCTGACATCTTTTTCTTGGTTGGTAAAAGAGAAATCTGCTTCACTGTTTGAACACATTTGTGTAACTCTAAACAGGGTACCACCGATGCCAGGCCGAGTAAAAGGTGCCCCTTTCTGAGTCCAGGTCAGCTCTCATTTTGTTTTGGCTCTAGAATTATATGGAGAAAAGTAACCACATGCTTTTTTCTGTGTGCACTTATTCGTGTCAGAAGAATTGTAGTAGAAATATTTAATGGGTTTAATTTCTCAGTGAATATGGCTTTATATTTCCAAATGATTCTTGTAAGGAGTCTGAACATCGTCGTGTACCCTCTAACCCAAGAATAAAACCTGGCTTTTTAAGTGAAATTGTATTTAGATGAATTAATTTTTTTCAGAAAACTATGGTGTGTGGGTGTTCAGCAAATATTACCTCATAATCTACTGGCAAGATTGCCTCTTCCCTTTAGGCTTTTAAGAAGGCAGGTGCTGGGAGACAGGTACTTGAACCTGCTGGGACCCCACCTGAAAGAAGCATCAGATTTTTGCACCATGAAGCCATATGAGAGTCCTGCCTGCTTTCCTGATGGCTCAGGAGTAGTTAATGTGGATTGAAGTTCCCACACAAACAGTTTTTGGAGCTGTGCAGAGTCGTCAGCTACAAGATTGCCTGCCTGTGTCATTTCTGCTTTTAGAACAGGTATTTCCATTCCCTTCCGTATACAAAGGCCTGTGCACTGAAATAAGAACCTTACGGGATTAAACATGTTCAGCATTTGATTTTGGGCTCAATGGGGAACAGTCCCTGGGAAAGGATTTTTCTGCTTTTACTCTGGAGCGATCCTGCCGACACGGATCCAAGCAATGACATTCCTAACCCACAGTATGGACTCGGGGAGAATACAAGCAAAGCACTGAGCAGAGCAGCCTCTGGAGGGAAATTGCTTTTCCATGAACTATTGAAATTAGAGTTTGACTGCAACACTGGCTACAGAATAAACTCCCGGGTCTCTGTAAGAGAGAGAGGAGTTTTTATCTGTGCATGACTTTGGAGCTGGCCTGCAGACACCACAGCAGCAGATAATTTAACCAGCAAACAATGTAACTGCGCTACTCCTGATTAGTGCTTTGGCTAATAAGGGTGAGATCATGGAAAATGCTAATGAGGTGCCTTCGGAAAATCCAATTATAATGTAACCCAATTCAATGGGAGGTCTCAGCAGGTGACCAGTGCTGTGGGCAGAGCACCCCACACTCAGAGACGCCGTGAATCCCCCGAACAGACGAGCTTCTGTGTGTGCCTGGGGGGAGGCAGCAACCCCCGGGTTCATTGAGTTCCACTGTTTCCCCCAACTAACCAGGCAGGTTTGCTCCTGCCGTTTGTGGTGCTTAACTCATCATCTGACAGCTTGTGCAAGCATTGTCTGCCCCGAGCAGACGATTCAACACTGGCTATTCACAGGAAGAAAATAGTGTTTGCAGGGCTATCTTTTTTTTCTCTGCTCAGTCACAGGCTTTTAATGTTTGTCAGGCTTGGGCACAGGACTAAACTTCGACTCACACAAATCCTAACCTCTCTTAGTGTGGGGTATTCCTTTTTTTTATTATGCTGTATCTTTTAAAATGCATATAAAATGCCTGTAAGTTGCTTTTCCTCTTGGTTTTGTTGGAGTGATGTATGTTTCCCAAATGCAGGTGCTGCCCCAAAGGATACGCTTTCTGCAGTAACCCAGGCAACTTTGAGGCGGTGAGTTATTTTAGTTAAAATCAACCAGGCCTTTTTCCTTCCCTGAGCTTTGCCAGGAATGGATATCAACGCTCCCACTTCTTCCTTAAAAGCTTGGTGTCTTTTGGGAGTTTTTGTCCCTTTCTTTTTTTTTTTTCCATGGTGATGTGACACCAACATATCCATGACTTGAAGTTTTTTGTTTTGACTGAACACTGTTTTACTTCCCAGGTATTTTAAGCTCTGTGCCTTGCCAAAAATTTGTTATTTTAAAATTGCCTTTTTCTTCTGAAGGCCTGAAGGGTCTACTGGTGACAGCCAAGTCAATGCTTATTCCATTCTATGTCTATAGCTATTTCTTTCTACCCTTAGATAATGTGTGGCATGATGGGAAGATTTCACTGGTGATAAGTAAGTTGCCTGTCTTTATAAATCACTAAATACCATCCCTCCTTAGTCTCAGGCTGTCATTTGTTTCAGGAAGGAAAAATTGTTACTTTGAAATTGCTGATAAAGTCAGGAGCTGCTTTAATGGCCTGAGAAACTCTGCATACAAGAGGAGCTGGGTTCATGGCAATGCTGTAGGCAAAGCACATGGGGTGCCCCAAATACTTACCTACACTATCTTATGGTGGGAAGGCTGGATAACATGGCCACAACATGTTTCTGAGTAATTAGGATTATGAGATTCCCAAAATTTCTGATCTTATCCCCCTCTCTCTCCTTCTGTAGTCTAGAATGAGAAAAAGCAGGCGGTGTATGGCGATACATTTTGCTCAAGCAATCTGAGCTGCTCCAGCTCTCCCTATTCTTCCCACTCCAATGGACTGGAAATGTAATGAGATGGAAATTCTACCTTGCCCAGAGCACCCTGTGCTGAGAGAATATTTCTAATCAGGTTGAAGTTCTCACTCTTATTTAAAAAAAAAAAATCCTGAAGTTTAAAAATGGTTTCTGTATTTTAACTTTTCTGTGAGAATGACAGAAGAATTCCCCCGATCTGTGCAGATGCAAGTTTAAAGGCCTGTAAGACACCACAGGGGTGGAAAATATTTTTTTGATTAATAAAGCACTTTCCCACCAGGAGCCAGGATGCTGGTTAACGCTGTGTTTTCACTTGCAGCAGCAACGGCCCCGCTTCCACCTGCCCTGTAAAAGAGAAACACCCAGGTGCTTCCTGTCCAAGGGCTGCTGATGTGAGAGCAGAAGGTCCACGCTGGCCTCCAAATGTGCCGTGGGCTGGAGGTGGTGGGAGCAGGGCTGAGGCAAGGAGGGCGGGCAGGAATGTGATAGGGCACAGTGCCACGTGCAGTCTGGTGATCACTGGAGGAGGTCAGACCTTGCAGGACTGAGCCTGTGGGTTGCAACTTTCTTGGTCTAATGGGAGACACCAGACCAAGGGGGGTCTGAGGCTCTTCCCATGGCCAAGGGAAAGGATTTGGAGAAGGGAAGTCTCGTGGAGCGACGGCAGGATGTTTGTATGGCATGACCTGCTGAACAGAGAAGTTACAGCTTTGACCAATGGTAGAGCTCCTTTGTTGCCTTTTTTTGCCATCTGGTTGGTTTCTTTCATTGAGTTATTTGCTTTAGCTGAGAGAAGAGAGGGAGATGTTTTAATTTTCTCGGAGGAAGTTTTCATTTGGTGCCTTCCTGCATTCAGGCTTCCTGCGTCTCATCTCTTAGTTGTGTTAATCCCAAGTTAGTCCTTTTAAGGCAATGGCATTATCCTGGAGGGCTGGCACATGCATAGCTTCTTTGCAAGTTGTTTTGTGAACAACAGCCATCTCTAACTAAATATAGCAGTCACTTATAACTGTTACTCAAGGTTAGGCACAAAGCACCAGCCAGATTATGTCCCTATGCTAAAAGTTAGGAAAAACTGCCCTTTTCTGAAGATTGAAATCAGAGCTGGTCTTTTTGTAATTCCTATTCTTTTCCCCTTTCTCTCCTCAGTGCCAAATTTGCAGCCTATCCTGTATAGTCATGACCCAGCATGGAATCTGTGGAAATAATGTCAGAAGAAACAATCCTAGTCATGCCAAATGGAAGGGATTAGCAAGGATACCAGGAAAACACAGTCATCAGCACCAAAGAGCAGGATATTTCAAATAAAGTCCTTTCTGCATAAGTGACCTGTTCAGACACCAAAAACAGCTTTGGAGGGGCAGTGAATCACCCCTTATTTTCAGGATTCTTGTAGGAAAGAAAAGCTGTACAGGAGAAAAGCTGATTTCTTATGAACTGGGTTAACAATACTCTCTTATGCTGGCAGTAGCAAGAGAGGGGTTACCTTATTCCCTGTTAAAATTCCCCTGTGGTCAAGAGTTAAGTGAGAGTGGGGATGTCAAACAGGGGACTTGGAGCCTCCAGTGATACACTTTCTCTAGAAGGGAAGGGAAGGGAACTTGCTAAAATCAGGTTTGAGGCATGAATATTGCATTAGAGTTAACTAAAAGCAGCCTCGAGTCTGGCTTAGTAATGCCAGCAAAATTGGTTGTTCACAGGGATTGCTCCTAATCCTTACTAGTGATAGTTAAAATTCAAAGTGTGTGTGTGTGATGTTGTCATCTCACTGCTCATGATGCCTGAAGAGACACCTACCTTCCCTGAGGATTGGGGTGTGGTGGGGTCAGAGCACTGGAGCTGCTTTTCTACCCCTGTCTGATAAATTAATAAGGCAGCACTTTGAAGCACAGCTAAGAAAGAGCTGCAAAACCAGAAAACCTCCCCACCAAATCAAACTCACTGCGTTGCAGGGTGACCTCTGAGCACCACAGTTCTGCATTACCAGATACCTGTTGGGCAATTGAAACAAAAAAAGTCCCCAGGAGAAAAAAAAAAAAGGGCAATTAATCTGAATGTGCTGTTAATTTAGTAGTATTCCCACATGGAGTCTTAGTGCTACTACTCACAAGCTGACCATAACTTCCTACTGTTCCACAGGTGCTTGTGACAGGCTCCACTTTCCATGCTCATTCCTTTGCAATCCTTTACTTTGGAGTCACAGCAAACCATCTACTTGTCTTTTTTTTTTTTTTTTTCAAGTCAGATGAGGTTTGCAGAAAGTAAAATTCCCATTGGAAGAGAACTCAGAAAGGTAGTGCTGTACTGCCAGGAAACCTTTTCCAAATAATTGAGTTCTTATTAATAGAACTTTTCACTTTGATGAATGCAAACATTCAAGCTATAGCATGTTGTGTGGCTTTCTGTATCTGAAAGCACAGATAAGGGATGTGGGAAATGCAAACAAAAAAAACCTCTGAGCAGTACCAGGAAGGGGGAGGATATTAATAAGGAAGGAATATCCCTTATGAGTTTCCTGTTTGTTCTTATTCTTTCAGCCTATTCTGCCCAAATTTTTTTAGTTTCTGTATGTAAACATCACTTTTGTTTATGAGCAGTATTTTATTTTGTTTTATTTGGATCAGCTTAATCATATGAAGACTGTAAGCCTTTCTTCATCTGGGAAGAAAATGATCCAGGCATTGCACCTCGATTTATGTGTGCTGGTGGGTGTAACACTGGCTCAGTGTTTCATGGCTGCCAAGCAGATGCCATTCATCTCAGTCAATTGTTCTCAAAATTATTACATTTCAGTTGCAGGCATCTAAATCTCCACTAAATTCTTCAGGCTACTTTAAAC